TATATAGTTGTACACTTCCAGTAAACGTACGCCTTCCCTCCTTGCAGACTAAAATCCAAGCACAAGGCAGACGGACAGAGGGCGTCGGGCACGTCGCCGTCACCAGCTCAACACAATCCTGCTGCGAGGCACAACGGGGATCACAACCAACGGAGTCGCAACGGCAAGGCCAGCAGACTCACACACGGCGAGGGCGAGAAGGGGAGCGATGTACGTAATCTCCTCTGTTTTACTCCCCCCAACCCCAACACCCTGCCCAGCGGTTTCTACCAGTCTGCAAACCTTTGAACTTGTTCTCATGTGTTGGTTTACATGAACCCTCATCGTCTAGATATGAAAACGTCTGTTTTATCACTTTAGTCTGGGTCCAGGTGTAATTTATTACCACTTTTTATTTTCAACACGTTCCTGTGTGATGCTGCTTTGTTTCTTTGGCTCCTCTGTCATCTTGTTGCTTTGTTTTTCTCCTTTGGTCAGTTTTTGGAAATTGTTCTTTTAGTTTCTGTTGTGTGCCCATAACAGAGGGAGGGAGACCAGAGAAGAAAGATCACTGTGGAGGGCTTTATTTCTGCATAGCAAACCATTGGCTGATAACGTCTTGGCTGGAAAATTTAAATTTGTTTACAAAGAGTCTGAATAAAGTAGACAACAGGTTTCTACTTTTATGCCACTGCTCACCTGAAATATATGATTAAAAAAAATAAAGGATAGGTCTGACTTTCCAAACATTTGCTGTGTCATAACGGTTTTCTAAATTCATTCACAAGATTTGTTCCACAAATAGAAGTTTTGCCTTTGCTAACAAAATTAATTGACAAAGTTCTGTAAGATCGTACATTTCTCCTACTTTCAGGCAGACGATAGGGGAAAAAAATAAATAATATTTGAAAAGATGCTTCATACAAAAACCAAGCGAAGTGCTTTTTATTTTTAACAATGTGAGCCAACATCATTCTCATGTTGTGCCTTTTCTTTCTTTTAGATGTTTTTAGCATAAAAATTTTACGTACTGTGACCAAAAAAGTTAAGGCCTAATCATACGTTCAGTCATCACACCTATTTTATTTAGTTTATAGTTAAAAGTCAACGATAGTTACCAGTGATAACTTTTGGATTTATTTAATGACAT